AAATATATACGGAACGCTTGAACGTACTTTTTCACTTTCCATCTTGTTCATCTTTTTAACCGTGGCAATTCACTTAATTTTACGATCGAAATTTAAATTTTATTAGTCGTAGTGACTTTGTTATGATGTAATATTAATGTAATAAAGTTAGCGCCTTCAAAAGGGTTGTTATTAACATCATAAATCTGAATGGAAGACATCGGCTGTTTGAAATTTATTAACTTTTCTCTCGCAAGAAATTAATTTTAATTATGCCAAGCTATTGAGATTCTTTGAAATAGATTTTGGTACCGAGACTATTATTAAGTAAATTCTTTGATAAATTGTTGAAATTAATACTCCGGAATAAAAAAGCCGTGAGAGTTGGATCTTGGTTGCTAAGTAAGTTTTTTTTTAATATAAGTAATCTGTTTATAATTTTTTTTATTTCTTTTTATTGATGGCACGGATGAAATTTTTAATGGGACAATCACTTATAGGGAAACATGACATACACACAAATAAAAAACAAAAACAAAATTATGGATATCCAGACGAGACAGAGATGTTTATCAGAATGCTCAATCTGGATGTCGGTGAGTTTTGGCCAAAACGCGTTCTTCGGAAAGGAGGGAAAAATATAATGATGGGATGCCGGGGGTATTTAGAGGGTACAATTTCATATTAGAATATATTATTATTCAATACATTTGTTCTATCCCTACAATGGGTTTCACGGTACCATATAGAATTCCCCATTTATGTCATACCCACATTCAAATGGGGTGCATTTTTCCCCATCTAAATTTTATATTTGATATAAAAAATATAATTTTAATTATTTATTTGGAAATATTGATTGGAAGTCAAATATACTAAATATATTATATAAATTAATTAATTACCTCATCACTAAATTTGATCAATTGCTCATAAAAAAAAAATATTTAAGATTGATGGTGTTCTAAACATAATTTATGTATAAAAATATTCCAAGTTATTCCAAGTATTGTGCAATAACTCGTTGGAAATGTATTGTAAATACGGTGTGTTTACCTCCGCAAAGCTTCATCAGCAACGGCAATTACACAAGATAAATAACGCTAATTTATTCATTGAATATACGAATAATCGATTTTCATAGACATGTTCATTACGGCTTAGTGAGGGTATTATCGTAAGAAATTTAGATGTTGTATTTAGCTAATAACGGATGAACAGTGACTAAGCATATCTTCAGAAATATCATCCGCCAACACGCACTTGGCCAGAATGGTGGATGGCATTTCTACATCGTTATAGGATAAGAAAGCGGATAACAGCATCGACGGCTTTGATAGGACCGGTCACCTGCAAGTGCCTCTAAGACTCGTGCGTATCGTACACGACTTCTTGTCCGACCGCTCTATGCGCTATCGTTTAGAAGGGACGTTATCGTCCCCTCGACCCATCATGGCCGGAGTCCCTCAAGGCTCGGTCCTCTCGCCCCTTCTTTTCACGCTGTTTACCGGCGACATCCCTAGGGCCCCCAACGTGGAGCTAGCCCTCTATGCCGATGACACCGCTCTCTATACCACTCACAAAGACAGAGGTGACATCGTGGACAGACCGCTACTACGTCGCTAGGCGAATGGTTTCGGAAATGGGGCTTCCAAATAAATCCTGAGAAAAGCGTTGCAGTTCTCTTTGCCAGGGGCAACCCCGGTGCGCACGCTCATTCTCGGGAAAAATTTGCCTCAAAAAAGAGGTAACCCTATACGGGCAAGCCATCCCTTGGCAAAAGTCCGCCATATATCTAGGAGTCACGCTCGATAGCGGCATGTCTTTCCGTAAGCATATAGCCGCCGTTCGCAAGAAGGCCTCTTTTGTCCTCTCTCGCCTCCATTTCCTCCTAAATAAAAGGAGTAACATGTCCCTTAGACACAAGGTGACATTGTACAAGGCCTGCATCCTACCGTGCATGACATACGCTAGCGTAGCCCTCCCATATCCACCGGCTACAGGTGCTTAAAACGCGATTCATGAGAATCGCGACCGGCGCACCCTTCTACGTGAGAAACGTCGATCTCCACCACAACCTGAAGCTCCCTACCATAGCCCAATGGATGAAGTTGGCGTCCACACGCCACTTCGACAAGGCTAAACACCATCCCAACCCGATGGTGCGTAAAAGCATCAACTATTATCCCTTCCCGACAAAAAAAGGCTCGTAGGAGGCCCCGACACGTTCTAACGGATCCGGATGATCAAATCACGATTGCTAATAACAAATTAATAGCCGCCCGCGCGGCCAATAATAATAAAAATAGCCAAAAACAGATTAGGGTAAAAAAAACGCCTTCACCGGGGAAGGCGAGGACCTTTACTGCGTACTTCGCTCACGTGAGCTCGCTCCAGTGAGCTTCCGTCCTGCCCTTCAGGCGATTGACCACCCCGCGACGGCCCAAGCCGAGGATCGCGTCTCACAGGAGACGCCCTTGCGCTAGTCGCGGGAAAACCGCCCATTCAGGCCGAGCTGAGCAGTAAAGGCCCTTAAGGCCAACAGCGAGATTCCTTAAAAAAAACATCGAACCGGTCAATTCCTCAAATTTACGTGGTTAGCGCACTTAATTAGAGTAATATTATTTCTCTTCGTAAACAATAATTGTAAATAACCTTAATTTTGCCCAAATGAGTGCGGAAATTGAGTCCACACTAAATAACTTATAATTAATAAATTAATGCACTTTATTTATGGTTCAGTTTCCTCTACGATGAGCCTGTGATGAAATGGTATGTCTTGGCAACAAATATAGCATTTACTTTTTGCTTATTCTTAATTAAATGTAGATAGAAATATGTTTAAAATTGTATTTCATGAGGTATTAAGCGGCCTTCGGAAGTGCGTTTATTTCAAATATTCACTTAATTGGCCAAACATTGTCGGTTATATTATTTGATATTTTTAATAAATTTAGATGGAACCTTTAAAAGGAGAAAACGGTTTTTAAAGCGCACAATTGCCTGCATCAACAACGCGAGACAGATTGTACGTTAACCATCAATGTATAAACAAAAATGTAATAAATATTAAATTATTTATCAATAATAGAAATATATAAACTAAAAACTAGAATAACTGAAAGAAAAGTTTGTATATTCGGTTATAATGATAAAAACGCGCCATAACCATGCAACTTCTAATGAATAGCTGCCAAACTGTAAAATGTTCTTTTGCTATCGGATTAAAAAACAAACAAAGCTAACTTCCTACAGCGGAACGAGGGCAATCAGAAAAGTTGATACGCTCGTGTGATCGCTAAAAGAACTTTTAACAATATAAAGCATTGGCCATTACTCACCAGGGTTCGAATAAAGGATTCAATACTGATAAAGCCGTGTTTATTTTACGTCGGAAACCGATTTATATTAAAATGGAGTTGATTTACCCATGGTTTTTATTGTCTCTGTTAAGATTTTACCCTTTTCCTAGTGGGTCTTTAATTATGCTTTTTAAAATAAAATAATATATTCATAAAGTGGTATATATTATGTGTAATTTGGAGGTTGTAATAGCGGTGAAATAACTTCTCGTATATCGATTTTGTGGTCACACAATGCATGTTGCAGCATTTATGGTTTGGGTTATTAACATTTACTTCGAGTTATTAAATCAAGGGTATAGAATGAACGAGAAAGAAGCTGCAACCACCATGCTCCTTAAAACTTTGGAGCACTGGATGTATTTAGAACAACGTCGTTCACCTTAACTAAGTGGAAAAAATGTTCTGAGTATAAAATTTCAATTATAATCCAAGTCAACTAACGCCTGTTGGCGACAAATTAGAATCTTGACAAGTGCTATGCCGAGGCAGCGGAAAACTCATTTTAAACTTAACTGAAATATGAATCGCGTTTAAAATAAACATATTTTTGTGGTTTGTCACGAGTTGGCCGCAAAACTTTTATCGTTTATCATAAATCAACTCGAATAAAAGAAGTTGGAATGCAACGTGCACAGACATTAATAAACATTGTAAACAAGATGGAGATTGTGAGTTTTGAAATATGTTTGACGTTATCATTTTCGCTTCAAAACAAAGTAAAAACAGGAAGTTTCTGTTTATTTTGTCTAGTTTAAATTTCTAGCGAAAGTTTTAAGCTTTTAATGGGATGCAAAGCTGAATTTGCGACAATATAGACACACCGAGACCACTAAAAGAAAGGCAAGGAAATAAAATATATGTTTTGTCATTATTCATGTGTCATTTTATAGTCAAAAGTCAAAAATCATTTAATCATATAGGTAACATAATGTACACTTATGAACGTCAAATAAAGAAATGTATATGAAATGATTCTAACTTTAGATTTAGTGCCAGTTCTCAAATCAAGGGCGTAGAACGGAAGAGAAGAACTGGCAATAAACTCTCCGCCACTCTTTTTAATCGCCATGTTTTTTTTTTATACAATGTTTGTAAGGAGCTGCAACCATTACACCATGTTCCACATGACATCTTAAATTATTAATAATAATAACATAAATTAAAAACAAAGACTTGTCCTCTATCAGCAGGAGGCATGGTAAAATAGGAGCACACACTAACATTCTCGTGGGAACAACACGCAAACACATAATCGACGACGAGTCACCACAAGCAGCACCCGTTCACGAGTATGACGCATGGCCAGCCATCGGCCCCTATAATTGGACAAATAAAAATAATCTTGAACTAATTCCACAAACGTTTAAAACGAAACTTTGAAGGTACAGCTTATTGCGTGTCAAATTTTTTTTATAATCATTCAATTTACAACTTTGTCAAAAGACAAAGATTGTAAGTGCCTTCCTTTGTTAAATAATTAATTCTCGAAACGGACTAGATATTGCATTTAAGCTATAAATATTTAAATAGTCCTAATATATATCCATGGGAGCGGGAGGTGACGACCCCATCGCCCACTGGTGACAGTGATAGAGAGTATTTAACCAGTGCAATCAGTCAGTACCCTTCCTAGTGGGAGTACCGTGCTATTACCAAATGAACAGGCACAGGGCAGTACCGATGTTTCCGTCCAGCGAAATCGTGATACATGGAGACTTTAACGCCCACCATGGCGACTGGCTCAACTCTGATAGAACCAATTACGCTTGGCATATTACACAAATGGTCTCCGCAATTACGGGAATACCAGATGTGGATGGTCACAAACGATCTTTGTTGGCCCTCAAACCTTCTACTGACCTCACATACAGAGAACTGGCAAATTTACGTCGACCCTTCTTTGGGTTCGACGGATCATTGCGTGGTCCGCAAACTAAGTAAACTCCACGCAGGCTGTCTCCGTATTTGGTTCGCACTATTGGTCAGTAGATCGTGATGGGATACTATTTATCTTTGCGTTCTTTGCGCTTATATGCTTTTCGTTGGATATTCCGACTCTGACGCATTAGTGAGCTTAAGAAAAACATTTTTTGGGACTGATAGCAGAGTTTGACAGTGCGCCTCTCAACCCTAAGTCGTGCGTTCGAATCGCGGCTGTGCAATGGAATTTTGTTTCACATAAAAAGTAAAAATACCCGTAAAAAACTTAAGATGAAAAAAAGTTGCAATCAGTCAGTATGCAGGTGCAGATGCACCGATCCATTTGTTGAGATAATATAACATATAATCTCGGTTATATCAAGTTCAGAGCATATCCAATGTTAATAAATTGGAATCAATTTATAAATTGTTTACAAAATCGACGCTAGACTAATTATACAATAAAAACTTCATAACAGATATTTAACGATGAAAATGAGACCAAAGACATACAGCGATCTCGGTTTGAAGTTAAATAAGATTTCTTTCGAGTTTGTTTAGATACTTATAAAAGTATACATAAAGCTATCGTTGGCTATTTCTCGAGATTATATAGATACCAATGTTTCGGGTTTTATCTAACTATGACACTAATAATGAGGATTTTTATATTCTCTACCTCACTAAAAGAGGATGTGAGGAAATAAGTATTTGAAGAAGCGGGAAGACGTTGACTTTGTTTAGCAGTAACAATTTAGTTTTTTATTACTATTAAGTAAATTAAGTGAAGGCCAGCGGTGAATCCCAAAAAAAACCAAAATGTGTTGAAATTAATCACAATAATTAAGACAACTAAATACAACTATTTAATCGCCCCGATATTAGGTGCACGACAAAATATATTATAAACTTAACTAGTTGAGAATTGACCGGTCCGATATGAGGTATCCGATCAAAAGCTTCTGATCTCTATTGTCCATTTCCTTTTATAGCGGTGTTGCGTAAGAGGGGTACAGGTATTGGTTATGCGGGGCAAAGGGAGTGCAATGGATATGTAACAAGTATCAATTGTCGCTTGTTTAATGTTAAAGTTCAGTATTCTTTTATTTTTGTCTATTAATTTACTTACTTATGTTTCTGTTTCATATACATATATTGTTTATCTATGTAATCTGTTTTGGCTTTGTATATTGTCTAAGTGTTTTCTTTTATAATATGTGTGTTAGCTGTAAGATTAGTTATTAATAAATAAATAATTAATTCCTATGTTTGTTATATCGTCATAGTCGTAGAATAGTGATGGATCTGACAAATAATAAACTTTACAGGTCAGCCATTTCAAAATAAAAAAATCATGTTAGTTTTTGTCATAACTGTTTAAATTCATATTCTCTTATTATGAAAATTAGCATACAAGCAAACAAAATGATATATTTTGAAAAAAAAAATAATATTAAATTACACAGTTTTCTAGAAAAATCACATGCTTCTATGAACATCTAACAATTCTGTCACTTTACCGGCTGATTAATTTGAATTTTGGGTGGATTTTTTTTAATGTAGCTGTAATATTTATTCAATGTAGTATCCAAATATGATAAAAAGTGTTTTTTTTTTCAAATCCGACATTGTTCTACGATCATGACGATATATTACTTAATATGTTTTATACATACCACGGAAGGTGTTAGTGAAGTTCTGTTCTGTCTCCTGCAACATAGGGGCAAGCAACAATCCCGAGTGTGGGTACTAACGTAACAATTTTGTAACTACTATAGTTTGTTTTAAATGAATTATTATTAAATCGTCATGATAGTAGAACAATGTCGGATTTGAAAAACATCCAAAATCCAATTTTTGATTATATTTGGATACTACGTTGACTAAATATTACCGCTACATTAAAAAAAAATTCCATATGTTTTAAATTTTAAATTTAATCAGTCGGTAAATTGACGGACGGATTTGATAGACGCTCATAGAAGCATGTGATTTTTCTAGAAAACTGTGTAATTTAATGTTATTAATTTTATTTTATGTTTCCAAAGAAACCCTTTTGTTTGCTTGTATGCCAATTTTCATAATTACAGAATATGTATTTAAAAAGTTATGAAAAATAAACTAACATGATTATATTATTTTGAAATGGCTGCCCTGTAAAGTTTGTCAGATCCGTCACTATGCTACGACTATGACGAAATTATATATATTATTATCTATATGATTATTAGCAAAATATGAAAACGTGTTCATTATTCGGCGTTATAAACTGTTTGATAGCGATCGTTTGTTTATTGGCAGTAGGTTTAGATACCTATCTTAATTGGAGTGCCACGCTGCACCAATAATAATTTCATATTAATTTATTCTAATGATTAGTTAATTAGCTAATAGTGATACATCAGCAGTACCTTTTATAAAAGTTAGCCTAAAGCCCGTTTATTTAAATTTATAATATGTATACTCCCTTTAGTACCATTGATGAGCTTTTCACGGTTAAAGGCGTTCTCCAGCTTTTTATGGAACTCTCTAGGGCTTTCTTAATGCATACGCTTCTGTCTTCTATCCATCTTTTTCTAAAGCGACCTCTTCTCCTTCTACTCCTTGGTCTCTTTCATATAAGTGTCTCACAAGTTATATATAGAAGAATAAAAATTTAAATTACCATAATACTAGAATATATTTGATGTAAATTCGAAGTACATTTTCCACTTTGAGGTATACAAACTGAACATAATCAAAGCCACATGAAAGGCATTACGTATTCAGGTAAATATTTGTCATTACAGGCAGAACGTCTGTTTGTCTCCTCATTACAAACTCAAATAGCAACTTTTTCATATATTTTTATATTCAACACGTGTTTTTCATTTTATTACTTACAGGTTTCATTATATTGTATTATCTAAAATAATGTCATAAAGATATGTTTTTTGATATAATGCTACATTATTTTTTAGTAATATTAATTTTAGTTTTTAACGGATCTGGTTCGACCTAGGGGTCCTAGGAAACATAATATTTATGTAAGAAAAAAATAATAAACTCGACGCTGAAATGTTTTCCCATGATGCTAATCAGAGATATGTTGCGACCCTTTGCTTTCGACCCCTGCGCTGGAAATATGTACGGCGTTTACGGGAAAAGTATTGTATATGTGTAAAAAAGGAGTTACACAAATGCCGTACAATTATAAATGACCTATATTGCTTCTGCAATTATCGTCGAATTAAAAATTTGCACTGATTTCCGGCACCACCACTTTAGTACGGCACTAGGTTTTTCGACATTTATTTTTAATAACCTATACACTATAACAAAGCCGTACATACTGCCTACTGTACCGCTCAGAAATGACGACATAGTGCTCAGAGTTATTTTCTGATATAGTAACAGCCTTCTAAGCGTTATTCACGTTGGTTCATTTTACAGGCATTTTTTTCCATGGGCTTGTAGTTTATAAATTATTATTGTTGTAAAAGTTAGTGTATTTAAATTAAGAATATATGTGGTAGAAGATAATAACGATGGTGTTATGTGTGTAACGTAGATTAGATGGCGCAAAGTTCGTTACCGACTGATTCTTTAGTTTATATTAATTACATTTATTCTATATCGTTAGTTCCTTTAATAGAATTACAACCAAGGTTATACAGAAAATAAATAATCACTGTATTATACGAAATAACATTGTGATCGGGCTAAAGTCTGACTGTCACGTGTCAAAGACTGCCTATTTATTACACAATAAAAGCCTAAAGATTTTCCTTCATATCAGGGCCTCAGTATCGTAATTAAGACATCGTCCGTTCCCCATTAAAGGCTTAGAACTCAATTAAATTAACGCTAATTGATTTTAAGATAACGTAACAAACGAAGACTATTCAAATACGCATCATGCCCCATTGCGGACTAACGACGTGTCCCCCTCGCCACCCTCCCCCTAATAATCTATTCCCTTAGCGTACCTTTGACATAGAGAGGGTTGCAACAAATACTTTTGAACAAAATTTTCTATGGGATATAAATATCTAGTAAATAATAGTATCTTTAAAGGATACTAGCGACTTTAAACATAACTTCTAAGGTCCTTATAACTATATGTTACGCTTGGAAATTCTATTTCACAACTCATCATTTTTAGGCAATGCGTTTAGGATCTCCGCCATTATGTTGTGGAATACGCACGCGTATTCAGCCAGATATGTTTTACATCTGCTAAGCTGGAAAGTCTCACAGATGATGTAGGGTGTCAAATATATAATCACTCCTGTATAATCGCTAGACACATAAGCTTTATTGTCAAATATGTGTTTAAGATAGAGAATACTCTATCTTGGTACAAATAAGTAAAAAATGATTCTACTATTAAGATACATTATTAATTATTACAATCAAATATACAGTATTTAAAATTTTCTAAACCTACATAGTATTAATAAAAATAAAAATAAACCTTTCTTGTTCCTGCCTCTACCAGACTCGTAATCGTGCTTTGTTTCATGTTCCTCACATCAACACTAACTATGCAAAAAACTCAGTTTTGTATCGCACAGCCCGGACATACAACGACCATAATTAAGCCTTGACTTGTTTAAGCTATCTCGGAATATGGTTAAAAAGAGTATTACGAATATCCATAGCGCAAAATCACCTCAATTTTACTTTAAAAAATAATTGTCAATTAAACCATACATTAACTATGTCTATTGAAACCGTAAATATCGTTTAACGTTCGGAATCTAACTGAAATTTAAATATGATTACAAGCAAGATGTATTAAATTATATCAAAAGATGAAAACCTTCTCAGTCTTTACATTATGGTTTCAAGGTTGTTGGAATGAACTTTGAAATGCGTGGGCTGTATATGGTAAAAATTAAGCTTTAAAATCTAATAATTAATTAAGTTGAGACATCGTAAAGACAACCTAACTTTCGGCAAATTTAAATTTCCACAGCTAAAAGCCGTAGGTGTATAAGTTGGTTATATACGAATTGTTTTCAATGTTTCTTTATATA